GCCCCGCCCCTCTCCGGCAGGTCTGGTCTGCAGAGCCGCTGCCGGCCGGTGTCGGACCTCACGCGGCCAGGGATGTTTGGCTGCGTACTTGCATGAGCTTCCCACCCACCTGAGCCCAGCCCTCCAGGCCGCTCCTCACCCCACCCCTGTCTGGCGTGACCCCATCCTCAGCCTCTTTCTAAGGGACTTCCTCAGCACATTTGTATTTTTATATCCGACTCTTTGTTTACTGATTCCCCTCATGGTTCGTGCCCTCCCCCTATGGTCTTGGCCACGCTCTTCTGCGCCTGGCAGATAGGACGGTGTTGGTGTTGAGGCTGGGATGGGACAAGCCCCCAACATGGTAACCAACCCCATGGCCGGTCTGTCCATGCCTGACCCCAGGTGGCTATCTGGCAGACCCCTCCCCTTAAGGTATCACCTTCCAAGGGCCCAGGTCTGATTTTACCTTGGACTCCTGCGTCCTGCCCCTGGAAAGCCAAATGGGGACTGCTCTGAATCTTTGGATGACACCTGTGGCCCTGGAGATGTTCTCAACCCAGGGGTGTCCTTTGTAAATGTTCCTCCATCCTCACTGTACCAGGAGTGTGTGAATAAACACAGACCTCCCTGTGTGTGTGTTTGGCCACTGCTTTGGTCTGCTCAGGAGTCAGGCCCAAATAACTCCAATTCCTTTTGGGGAGGGGGCAGGTACTTGGGAATCTCAGGTGCGTGTTAATGGCAGAGAAGTGTTGTCAAGTAAACTCAGGCAGGCCAGCCTGGCCTAGGAACATCATTACAGTGTGACTTCCTTGGGTAAATAATACAACCTAAGCAGGATAGGTCACCAGATTTGTGGCTGGAACTGGGACCAGAAGCATAAAACAATCTAGATTCAAAGTCTATAGCCTCCTGTGGCTAAATCCAGGCTGGATGGGAGTCAGTAACAGGCTCCAGGGATGCAAGTTCCCAAGTCTGGCTGGCAGAAGAGTTGTGCTGAGCTTTGCCCCAGGGATGAATCACTGGTGGTTCAGTATGGTGGGGGAGGAAGTGGGGGAACCAAGGAGAGATCTGAGGAAGCCAGAAACCTGGGATTTGGGATCTAGTTTGACCTGGGCTGTATTTTTTTTTTCATGTGGGGTTGCTCCCATCAGCTCTATCTTAGGAATGAGGCTCCTGGGATGTGAGCACCTTAGACCCAACCCTAAGTCCTGAGTCAGGAATTCCAAATACTTGAGCCCAGGACAGAAAGGCAAGGAGGGCTGGAGGACCATGCTTCTGGCCTCACAGTTGAATGGCACGGAGGAAGTCTTCATGATCTGAGTCCTGGAGGAAGCAGGGTGGAGTGGGAGGTTGAGGGGGTGAGAAGATCTGGGCCCCAAGGGCTAGCTGGGCCACACTGAGCTCTTTGCCCTTGTGCATGAGGTAGAAATGGAAGTGGAAACTGTTGCCATAGGTTGCATGCTTCAAGGACCAGCCATAACGGGCTTGGGCATAGAGTCTTGTCCGAAAGTGAGGGGCAGCAGAGGTCATTGAGATGAACCGGCCCCCATGGACCAGCACCCGGCTCACCTGCAAGGCAGATAGAGAAGCCACTGGTGAGGAGCCCATCTCCAGGTTCTCAAAGGTCAGTATTATTCCAGACGCCCTCCCACTGAAATCTCAGGTGCTACTCTACATCCAGTAGCTCAGGGCTTTCCATGGCAAAAGAATGAGGCTCCTCTACCCCTGGTGTTTCCATGGGGAAGGGCCATATTCTAGTCAGGTAGGAGCATGGGAGTGATGTCAAGTGCAGGGGGCACTACTTTCCTGTCAGCTGCTCACCCTCCCTGTCATGGGCTCCCACACCTCCCTATCTGGAACCTGGCTGCTACTTCATCTCTGTGGCAATCCAGTAGTCAATCATCAGCCTCTGTGAACCTAGCCACTCCAGCCCCTATAATCTTGACCCAGATTGACCCTCCCCTTCCTTCAGGTAACCACAGCCCTGAGGGTGACCCACTTCTTGCTCCAAACCATGTCTCCTTTTGGCTTCTGAGTTCTTCCAGTCTTCTGAAACCTCAACCCCTCATCCCCACCCCTTGATCTACCCTCCTCCCTTGTTGTTCCCTCACCTCACTCAGCACCTGGTCCACAGTGTGGACACCTTCGGAGGACACGGTCCAGGGATCCTGTTCTCCCGTCAGCAGGGCATCCAGGGTGCCCTTCTCAAGCACCACGTCAAAGGAGCCACTGGGGAAGTCCAGTGCCCGCACGTCCATGGTCTCCCAGCGCAGCTTGGGCACGTGGGCATAGCGAGCCCGCATGGCGGCCACCACTACTGATGAGTAATCCACACTGGTCACGTCAGGGAAGCCAGCAAGGAAAAGCTCATAGCTCAGGGCACTGTTTCCACATCCTGGGGTGAGAAGGGGTGGGTGGCAAAAGGGCTACATTAGCTTTGGCTTTTACCTTCCCTATTATCTATCCACTCCTGGCCTGCTTTCTCTCAGCCCAAACCCTCTCATACTGAGGGAGAAGCAGCATGGTACAGAAAAGAGCATGAGCCTTGGTGTCATACAGACCTGGGCATATATCCTGGCTCTATCATTCCTAGCTGTGTGGACTAGGGCAAGTTGTTTGCATACTAGGAACTTGGATTTCCTAGTCAGAAAAATGAAGATAACAATACCAAGACTATGTGCAGGATATAATGCACTAAACTTAAAAACTAAAACAGCTAGAAAGTAGCTGAAGGAGCACTAAACTTAGGAGTTCAAAGATCTAGGTCCTGACATCCCTAGACATCCCTGACACACTGCCAAGAAAGGTCATTCAACTCTGACCCTCAGTTTCCTCAAACTTATAATGGGGATAATATTGGCATTGTTAGGACCACAATATTATTAATAGGATAATATTAGTATTATCCTAATCCCTAACTTCTCAGAGATTCTCTGACAATATCAGCCCTGGTAAGACTTCATGTTAGGGGTTATTTTCTTACTTTGACTTCCAAGGCAGAACTAACAAGGGGAAACTAAGTGGGGACACCCAGTGGAGCTGGTTCCTTGTAATTCCTTTGTGTATGAATGAGCAATACATATTGGGTTCTACTGATGAATAGAGTCCCTGGCCTCAAGGAGCTCATGCTCTGGTGAGAGGGAGAGATGTGTAATCAAGCAGTTGCCACATAATGTGGAGTGTTTCAATAGGGACAGGCTGTGGGAACATATAGGATAGTCCCTGTCCCCACCTTAGGTGTGTTGGCCAACAGGTTCAGGGGAACTGACAACCAATCAGTCTTGAAGAATCATAACGCCCTGGTGAGAAGTGCCTAGAAAGCAGTCCCAAAGGGGTTGAAGTTAGAGGGGTGGATCTGGACCTATGGCCCAGTGGGCATGGCTTCCTTCAAAGATCTGTTGGTCTCTTCCAGGCCCTCTTGTGGTCAGTATCAGCCTGAGAACAGGCCTGGTTGACAGCTCTTGGTGGCCTCAAATGGGGATCCCCAGCTCCTGGGATTAGATTGCCTTTAATCCCCATTTGCCTCTCTAAGAGGATCACAGGATCAGCTGTTGGTATAGCCCTAATCTAGCAGGTGAAGCTTGGTACCCGAACAGGGCACCCAGAGGCTGCAGGCTGGTCCTCTGGTGACCTCGAGGTTCCTCCTCAGGCCCTGGGGCTCAGGAAGAGTAATATCTCATCTTGGAAAACCCAATGTGTGCTTCCCAACACTGCAATCACAACAGGCTCTGGGATAGGGGATGAGAGTGGCTGAACAGGAGACCATAACTCAGTTCAGGCTGAAATCCCACTGTGTTCTTTGACCCACAATGCCTTCACCACACAACACCTGACCTCACACGCCTGCAGAGCTCTGCCTAACTGTGGACAAACACAAATTTCCTTCCTTTGTTCCCCTTGGTACAGGAAAGCTATCTTCCAAGACAACTTCATTAAGGATGAATGGAAAATAGAACTTGACCACAGGGCAAGTTATGCCTACAAAACAGTGAATTCAGATCCTGCTGCCTCAGTGATTGGGGGCTAACAACTAAGATGGGGCTTGGAAAGGCTACTTCTTCCCTAGGTGTGGCCTTAGAAAAGCAGAACCCTGGAAAATTGAGCCCGATCCAAGAACCCAACATATGGGAGCCCAGGGCAATGAGGATACTCTCGCAACACCAAGAGACTGAGATGTAAGCCAGAATACCAACTCGATAATTTATAATAGGAAAACAACAGCCATCATGGGGTCTGGACAGTCAATCCTCTGATCAGTCCCTTCTGTCTCTATAGGAAATACATAGTGAAGTCAAATTATAATCAGAAGATTATACAGAGCATGGAGTCAAGTAAGGAGAGAGAACCAGAGAAGTATAATGACAGCAAGGTTGGGACAGCCACATACACTCATCTACCATGAGGAATCTAGCCCTAGGGACCAGAAACATAAGTCCTCAGGCAAGGCACTCTTTCTTGGAGCAGTCTTGTAGAAAGTGCCTCTCTGACTCCCATTTTCAATAATAATAATGATAGCTAACAGTCTTTGAACACTGGATCCTATGTTAAGTACTTTATAAAGATTATCTCAGGTTTTTTTCACAGTAGCTCCATTCAGAAGATACTATTACAACAGCCATTACCATTTTCTAGTTGTAACAGAAACTGTATAGCCTGCAAAGCTTAAAATATTTCCTATTTAGCTATTCTCAGAAAAAGTGTACTGATCTCTAACCTAGAGTAGGTCTCATAATACTATCCTCTAACCTCTAGGGGTTGTCATGAGGATTAAATAAGTTGGAAAAGGCCCACCACATTCCTTAGCATCTACGAGGAGTTCAATTTGTTTGTTTAGATGAAATGTAACATAGGATACTCCGCAAGCTGTGGACCCTGTTCTTAGATCTTGGGAATCCTGCTTGGAAAGTTTTTCTTTTTGATTTTTAGACGTTTTCTCTCCTCTGTCCAGGAAAGGATACCTCCTAGTCAAGCAGATTTTAAGAGAGTGTTACTCTGCCAGTCACCAGCATGAGAATCAGCCTGTGGGCTTGTTGAAAATACAGACCCCTCGGACCCACTTTAGACCATCCCTGGAATTAGAAACTCAGGGTGGGGTCTAGCTTTCCAGGTTATTC